TGGAAATGTATATTAACTTAAAACTGCTGTAATTAGTCAATTGTTTAATAACCAATAACATATTAGTAAATATTTTAATATCCACTAGTTTTCTGATTACTATTAAACTGATTTAATGGTGCCTATTAAACTCTTTAATAGCAGTTTGCTAACCATAATTAAATGTTCAATAACCACAAGTAAATTTTAACGATTGTTATCCCCTTCATACTACGTGATGTAGATTTACAAGACCAGACCATGTGGATTTTGAATTAATTTGCATGGTTCGGTATAGGATTTGATGTGTGCCGTATTAATAGAACTTCAATTTCTTTTGATATGACAACATGCATTATCGTCTCGATGATGGTGGGTGAGGTTTTTGGGTTTTCCTCACCTGTAAGTCAAATCATCTTTAAGTCGCTCCGGAGCGCCACGGCAAATAATAATAATGGCCGTCCCTTTCCCCGCACAAGCTCAGCTTTTGGGGTTAAAATTCACTCGTAAGGGGGTGAATTAGGGAGAGTAATATTATTATTAATAATCATTCGCGCCATAGCATGTAATGAGGAAACAACTCTAACCTTGCGGAATTCAATGTACTTGTGTGGTATGAGTAAGTTGTGTTCCAGTGAGTTTTAAAGAACTAAAATAATGGATTATAAGGAATTACTAAAGAATTGGAGATGGTACACCGAGAAAAAACTTTGCTAGTGGGTATTAAACATTTAATAGTGGGAATTAAATTTTTTAATACTATATGAGAGAGATAAACTAATTAATAGGTTGGATTCCCTTCATAACTTAATTAATAGTAGTTATTAAACTGTTGTTCTTGGATCAGTGTTGCTGTCACAAGCAACTAATAAAAAAACTTTGTTTAACGTTAGTAAATAATTTATTAACAAGTACCTATTATACAGTTTAATAGAAAAACTAAATACTTTAATAGTCATTATTAAACAGCGTAATGATAGGTATTGAACAGCCTAATATTAATAAATTAATAACTGTTATTGAATGGTTTAATGATAGGCATTTGCAAGTTTTAATACCCCCTATTAAACCACTTTAATTGTGGTTTTTAAATAGATCTATAGAGGCCGACTAAATCTCCTTCACCCCAAATAAATTGGAAATTGTCTCTTATTTAACTACAATAGGAAATATAGCCATATGTAAACTGTTGAGGGTATACTCCACTCTTAAAGTAAATACGTTGCATAGACTAACTTTGTGTTACTCTAGAGCTTCTTTTCAAAAGTTTTATTTAGTTTTAAGAAAAAACATCACAAAAACTTTATTTTTTTAATGATTTTTTACCATTTATTTCTTTTTAGAAACAAAACTGATCAAATTTTGAAAAAGTGGCTTTAGATTACACATAATAAAGCTTTATATAATAAACTTTAAAACTGGGGTACTACTTAAAGTTTGCATACAGATATATTTCATATTAGAGACATTTGCAAAAATCTTACAAACACAGAACAAGTTTATATGAGTAACTTATTTCTGCATCATGTTTTAAAAATAAGAATATAAAAGACAGGTGAGAAAAATTAAAAAAATGTAAATACTTTTGAACAATTTATTGCGTCACAAGACCAGCCACAAATGAAATGGACCTAAAGGGGGTGCAAAACATTAATTGGTCAATTCATGGGCGATTGTTTCTTACATTACTAACCGCAAAATGTATAATTAAATTGTGTATTATAATCCATTCTGCGCCTGGTAAAATGTATATAATACACACACCGCACTACGAACACACAACCACATAATACACACACCTTACTACGAACACACAACCGGCTCAGGTTTGACAATCCAAAAATGCAACAACTAAGACACCTTTTTATTAACACAAATCAAAAGAAAATGAATGTAGTGTAGTTATGTTGGTGGCGTGGTGATCGTGATCGTGGATCTTCGACCTCGCACGAATACTAGTTTCCTCGAGTCCTAGACGGGTGGAAGGGATAAAACCGTTATATGTGTCTTTTCTAACTAATACGAAGGGCGATACTGTTCTAAATATCGATACTCCGCATCGATATGTATCGTTTAAAAATTATTGATACTTAAAAATAAGCACCTTAAAATATCGATATTTTTCGATACGACTTAATTATGCTAAATAAATTTTATTCCAAATATTTTTTAGTATACAGGGTTAAAGTTCAGTGACTATATACTCCATAATCCAAAAATATATTTATCAATCATACAAATAAAAGACAAACTAAAAAATAGAATAAAGAAAAATGTATAAAACATAACAAAAAATAAAAAAAAAACTAAACGGTATTTTTTATAAATATATTGCCATAAATATATTGTGCAACCTTTCAATATAAACCATAAATGGTCAATATTATTGCACAATATGAAATATTGCGCAATAATCATTGGCCGTTTGTGGGCCGCTTAGGACCGATTCCACCGTTGTGTTAAACGGAGATTAAAATGACGTTGTTAATGTAAAAATGTCATTTTAAACTTCGTTTAACACAACGGTGAAATCGGTCCTTAAGGCACTTTCGATATATACCAAAAAATATCGATATCAGTCATATCAAAATTGGAAAATATCGATATAAAATATCGAATATCGAAGATTAAAGTATCGATACTTGAAAATATCGTATCGTATCGCCCTTCCCTAAACGAATTATATTCATGCAAACTGTTAGTAGTAATCCACTTATAAAGTTTATTATATTAGTAGGTGATAAATCTGTGTTTCTCTGGAACTAGATTTTCAAAATTTGATTTAAGTTTTTTTTTTTTAAATTAAGGAAGTCTTTAAAAAATTGAAATTTTGTAATTTTCTTCTATAAAAACTATACCAAGTTTTGTAAAAATTGACCCACAGTCGTCCAGATATAACCTTTATCTATGTGAATGTTTTTTCTCGAACTAACCTAAGGTTTATATGTGGTCATATTTTATATAGTTAGATAGAGGCAATTACCAATTTTTGGGGAAGAAATTTTTGAACGACCTCTATGAAACTGTTTAATAATTATAATTAAAGTGGATAAATAGACAGTATTAGGACCTGCAAATATCTATCATTAAAACCATTAATAACAATTATTAAATTATCAATATTTGTGAACTAAATGCTATTAAGCTGTTCAATATCTATCATTACCCCGTTTAATAATGACTATTAAAGTATTTAGTTCCTCCTAATAAACTGTATAATAACTATTATCTAATTAATTTACTAATGATAAGCAAAGTTTTTTATTTGTTTGTTTGTGATAGCAACACTGATCCAAAAACAAAAGTTTAATATGTGCTATTAATGCTATCAGTTTATCTGTCTCATATAGTATAAAAAAATTTAATATCCGGAATTAAATTTTTAATACCCACTAGCAAAGTTTTTTTTCGGTGTATTAATAGAATTTGCTGTGGTGCTACGGGGCGATTTATAGATGCTTGATCTACTCCATTATTTATTTGGTAATAGAATCGGAAAACAACTGCCTGCCTACCTTTGAAAAACGTGTAGCAGTATCTTCTATAAGAAAGTAGTAATTTTTCATGTGAAACTTTTCATAAATATTTGTGTTGTTAATATAGTATATTACATTACGAGTGTGAAAAATCACTTTTCACACAAGTGATGTACAATATTTTTCCTACGACCACAAAATAATTTCATCAAAAAATGTAAAACCAGGTTATTATTATAATAATTAAAATGTATTTAAAAAAATAATCAACAATAATCGTATTTATTCAACAAAAAAAAATTCTACCACCGCCAGAATTTGAACGCAGTCGCTCGCTAGGTCTCAAATGGCAAGTTTGACACTCTAACCATCTGAGCTAATAGGCCTTGCCTCAATTAAATGATATGATCGGTTGTGTTTAACCAAAATAAAAAGCAAACATAACTTAGTTATTTTAAAATTATTTTAATAATAATAATAATTGATAAATATCTAGGATCTAATTTACAACAATTTCAATAATTTAACAATCATATCGATTTTAGTATTAATATGAATAGATCAAAATAGAAATGATGTGTTTGACATTTTGTGACAGCTGTTGCGGAAAGTAGCATATTCGTACACGGGTGGAAAGTAAATTCTTATTCATACGCGTGTGATATAGGGCACAGGACTATATAGTGTGATATGTGTCACTTTCTTAAGTGGTCGTAGGAAAAATAATTTTTTATGGTTTATTATATACTATTTCAAAACATTTTCGGAATTATTGGTTGATAGCTACAGAGACCATTGATTAATAATTGTTTGAAATTACTCCTAAAATATCACGTTTCGCGCATGCAATAATCGACCGCGAAACACTGCTTTGGTCGAATTGACCAGAAAAATTGCAAAAACATTGGCCCTTTGGGGCATTCTAAAATTTAAATTTCTTGATAATATTGAAATTTAGTTTATAAAATAACATTCACAAGTAATTTCGTTAGGAAAATAATAAGTATCCAGTGAAATAAATCGACTATGAAAGTGATTCCATGCAATCGTGACTTGCTTTGTTTTATATTTTGAAATACAATTTCAACTTGTATGGAATTTTTTTTAGGATTTATATGGTAATAGATTTGTTGGTTTCAAAAAATATTTTTAATCAGTGGCGGCTTTTGCACAAGTGCAGTAGAAATGCAGAACTGCCAAAAAATGCAAGTATTTCATCTACATTTCACAGAAAATATTTAAGACATTCTAAAATATACGTAAAATAGATTTTATGGATAATCTCTGGATAATCATAATTTTAATTTAATTTTTATCATGAAATAGTAAATGGTGTGGGTGCGCTGCACCGCTTGGGCCGCCAGCTCTCTTCATCTCCTTAAGTTGTTATAGAAGTATTGATAGGCATATGCTTGTCAAAAAAGATTAATTAACAAGTTTGCGAACAGCGAAACTTTCTTGGCAACAGTAGGTGTATTGAACAATTGTACTTTATAATTTTTAAAACATATACCTAAGTAATTAATATAAATATTCTATATTTACCTTTTAGTGTTGGAAATAATGGCGGTGAAAACTGCGATGACAGGTGGGACGCCAAATGCGGAGAAAAAAATAACGGCGGCGTATTTCTCGTTCCAGAACCATCTAAGACAGGTCGAAAACCGCCGGCATGACTGAAACAAATAAAAACCTTTTTTTTCAAGTGTTTCAAAAAATATCCATAATATGATATTGATCACGATGTTTAGAACAATATTTAAAAATATTAACAACAATATCTATATTTGCTACTTATTAGTAACTTTTGACAAGTTGACAGTGTTTGTCACGTACAAAAGTTTTATCATACGGCGTTTTCCACTGGAATGTTAAGTGTGTTCTGAGTGTATTCTCACTTTGTTCTTTTCCATATCGATAAACAATGACACAAATATACTATATACTATACTATACTATAATATTGCCAGTGCAAGTAAAAAACGCTAGTTATATAATAGTCATGTTGTACAGATATCATTTCATTGTAGATAATTCTTGTTAACATTTGATTCATTCTTATTTCAACCTCAGTCGAGTAAACTAATATTTTCTTGTAATTTAAAATAAAGTTTGGTTTTTAAAAATAAGTTCTGATTCTTAAATAACTTAACTGGCGCAGTCAGTAGGATAGTTTGCAGTTCGATTTTGTGAAGCCACGGCATCGAGACCGATTCCAATTAAACGTAAATTTTAACTCTTTGGCAACCAAACCTACCTAGAAACTATTGGTCCTCTTCAGAAGTTAGTAGCAGAATCACCGCAGGGAGAACTACTAGACCATGAACAAAAGAACAACGCTAAAAACCATTATATTTCTTCTAACCTTAACCCCTTTGCCTGTAATCTGTGACAATGAAATCCATGAACTTGATACACCTCTATTACCCCTTGAATTAGGAAAAACGAAAGTAATAGAAACTAAACATACATTCTTACATTTCATAGAGACAAAATCCTTGATTGCACAATTACGAAATATTAATTATTTTTATTATAGATTAGAAACGTTACTTAATACTACTAGTTTAGGATATGATGAACCTATTATTAAGGATATATTCGTACATGCTAAATACTTACTTAAGACACCTACTACTAAGTTAAATAATTTAAGTCCTAAAAATAGAAACAAACGTGGTTTATTTGACAGTCTAGGCACGGCAAGCAAATGGCTTTTTGGCAAATATCAAATAGAAACACTTACAAAAAATCAAAACTCATTAACTCATCAATTACATCTTCAAACCTCTCTAAATCAAGATCTTATCGATTATTATAATAAAAACAGTAACAATTTTACATGAAAATCAAAATGTAATTAGAAACAAACTAAAAGAATTGTCTACAAAACTAAATAACTACACAGAAGATTTTTATAACTATATAACTTTCGAAATTGCATTAAATAAAATAATTCTAAACTGTCAAAATTTAATAAATTTCCTAGGTAATCTAGAAAACGCAATTATGTTTGCTCATTCAGGAACTTTGCATACATCAATCGTTTCAGTTGATGATTTGTTCAAATTAGTAAATCACTTGGCATCTCTCTATGGAGAAAAAAAAATTCTTCGATTTGAAAATCCATTTTACTATTATCAATTAATATTCAAGTAATAATGAAAACTCAAATATAATTTTTGCCATACATTTACCTATGTTAATAAATGATAACTACCAAACATTTCACCTATATGTTATGTTATGTTGGGAATGGGGTGTTAATACACCGCGACCTAAAAGATCTATTGTGCCCCCTTCTGTTGCCAATGCACTAAGGAAATGTCTCAATGCCTATAACGACCCTTTCAATCCTATTTTTTCAAGGAAATGTAGGATTTAAAGTGGCTTCAAGTTAGGTAAATCACCCTCTTCTATTTGATATCCTCCTAGATATAGTGCCCTTGGATTCTGGAGTACTACACATTTAGGATGTCAATGGAGGTTTCGTCCTCCTCCTCACAGAATCTGCACTCACTATCCTCTACTACTCTCAGTTTACTTAGGTGTCCTTTTAGTTGGCAATGCCCGGTAAGGATCTCTGTTACAATACGTAGCCTGTTCTTGCTCAGGCAGATGCAGGCTTTCGATATTTTCTGGTTATATTCACCCGGAAGTATCTTGGCTTGTCTCAGCCCCAAGAGATCGTTCCAATTATCGGTTCTTCTACTGCTCAATTCTTTTTTAATCTCTTCTAATATTATGTTACTGCTGATAGCGCAGAACGGCTCAGGTCCTACAAAGGGTGTTTGAGCCCCTTTCCTTGCAAGACTATTTGCAATCTCGTTACCCTGTACCCCGTTATGTCCCGGGACCCAAGTGAGAGTAACCCTATTTTTCTCGCCTAGCTCATTCATTTGTTCTAGGCATCTCCAGACCATTTTTGAGGCTGATTACGTAAGAGCTCAGCGCTTTGATGGCTGCTTGACTATCGGGCATGATGATAATCTCTTGTCTATGATAGTTTCTCTCGATGTTGAACTGGATACACTTCTCGATTGCGTGAATTTCCGCCTGGAAGATGCTTGGGTATTTTCCCAAGCTTTCGGAGTGCTTGGTTCTTGGCCCATACACTCCTATTCCAGTTCCTTCTTTCACTTCTTTCGGTTGCAAGCGCGATGAATTCTTGGCTCCATTCTTTCTTGCTGCCCAGCTCTGTGGTTTTGAAGTTTTTCACAAAACTGTACTTCTTTAGAATTTCATCCTGGGGCATGTCCCAGGTATATTTAGTCCGGAAGCAAGTAGACTTTCGTCTGATTACTTCGTTCCTGATTATTCTCTATCGTGTTCTTTTTGCCACATTCTCTATCATCAAATGTAGAGGGGCGAGGTTTAAGATCACTTCCATTGCAGCCGTAGGACAGGTTCTCATTGCATCAGTAATGCAAACACAGGCTAGTCTTTGTACTTTTGAGATATTAGCTCTCGTAGTAGCTAAACTAGTTCTGTTACTCCAGGCTAACTACATTTTACCTAATTGGCCTACCTTCAAAAATTCATAATAATTCATAATTCATAATTCCTGACAACCTACCTAATATTCGGTACAACAAGTCACCAATATGAACAAACTCCCTGTCCAAAATTAAACGACGTTTATTTATGCCAAATCCATGAAGAAATAATGGATGAAAATTGTATCATTCCTCTTATCAAAGCTATTATCAAGATACCATGTATGTCCTGCAATCCTAACTCACAATATAATTGAAGAAATTAATGACTAATTTATTTTCGTCTTTCCTGCCAATACATCAATCAAATAGAATCAAATTGTGAAAAAAAGAAAATCCTAATAATAAAACACAACACCCAAAGGCTGCGAAATTCGTACGAAAAATTCGACCTTTCGAAGCACTGAAGAAATAATTAATGCAAATCCGCTTATATTGCCGAAATTCGAGTGGAATCTTAGAAGAAACTCCGAAAATACAGAAGAACCCATACAGTTGCATGCAATTGACCTCCAATCAATTAAAGAAATGCAACTCCAGTCTAGATTATCCTCGCCAAATGTTCAACAAGTCCATCCAGCCGTTTGGAATTTACTTAATTTGGTAATAATAATCCTGATTGTACTTCTGTTGGTATAGCATGGTACTACATAAGAAAAACGAAAAAATTACCCACACGGCAACCCGAACAAGATAAACCAGAAAACAACCCTAAATCCGTGTTGTTTTTTCTTAAGAAGGGAGGAGTTATATAAAGACATTTTGCCATATCATATAAATAATAGTCACGTTGTATAGATATCATATTTCATTGTAGATAATTCTTGTTAACATTTAATTCATTCTTATTTCAACCTCAGTCGAGTAAACCAGTATTTTCTTGTAATTTAAAATAAAGATTTGTTCTTAAAAATAGGTTTTGATTCTAAAATAACTCGCTATTAGTTTTATCTTTTTGATGAATTTCTAAGGGCGATTTGCACCGCTTTAACTTACACTGAGGTACGTATTAACTAAGAGTTGAGGGTGACCGTATCTTTAGTATCCTAAAGTTTGTAACTGCTATACGCATTAGGATTTTTTATGATTACACCCAACGAACTTTTGTCGAAACGTTTTCAAATAAAAAATAAATTTAAACAAATTACACTCTACCAAACAAAACGGTAACAAACAAGAAATGCTTTTTCTACATTAAATATCATCGTAGGTGGAATATAATATAATGATACGGCAGGAGGTGGCCTCTTTATCTTCAGATCTAAAAGGGGGCGGCCAACACGAGCGGCACGTTACACTACATCAAAACGTATACCCGGCTCCCCTAAGAATAAGCGCTTCAGACATATGAAATGGGAATTCATGTTTTTTAAAATTCAATCGAAAAGTAGCTTATGCAGAGAGAAGGGAATCTATATTTTGGTGTTCCTTACAAAACGGATCTATAAAACATTAAATTGTATGTCCTTTGTGAGATCCAGTGTCGTAGAGATTGAAATAAAAGTTTAGGGTATTTTTTGTTCCAGTAGTTTTGAGAACCATTTAGATTTAGTGCAGTTTGGACCTCATAAGGTTTCCGCAGAACAATTGTAGTCTGATACCTTCTCAGATTAATAAACTATTATTATTTAATTCTTGTTAGGAATAAAAATTAAAGAAATGATACTCAAAATCAATCCCACGCAAATTGTTCAATATTTAAATTACATGGCAACCGGTTTCGGCACTAGTGCCATCTTCAGGCTTGTCTAAAAAGTGTGCGTAGGGTAGTTCAAAAATACCTTGTTGGTAAAGACTCGTAACGAGTTCATAGGGTCCGGTTCTCCAGTGTAGATCAGATTTAATGGCTTAGAAAAGATATAACAATAGAACAAATTGTATCTTAATCAGGTTTCAGTCCATCAGGTGGAAAAACTGTAAAAGAAAATTATCAGGAGTACACCTAGGCCACTGTCGAAACCTTAAATGGGAACGGCAATGGTACTTCGGGATACAATATCCGGAACCTGAAGAAATTGCGAAAGCGCCCATCAGACATATTCTTGAATTCTTCAAGAAAATCAATCTGATGGGATAGAAACTGTGAGGGGTACAATAAGCTTAGAGCTTTAGTACAAGTGGGCTTTGAACCACGCCCTAATTCAGATAGATAGATAGACACCTAGGCGCAAGAAGGGAGT